CTCGTAGGACATGTAGAAAAAAATAAACACACTTTTATTATATAAATCGAACCCAAGCTATCGATTTAAATCTAGTTAGAATTTTAATCGGGTTCGACCGTTATTGAGATCTCAAAATCTCGGGTGCTCGCAACGCGACGGCTCGCGTTAAGAGACCCGGCATGGCTTGTTTGAACACTTGACACCAAGCCACTACCGTGTCTCCTGATAAATTATATATATTTTTACGTTTATAGTGCAGTAATAAGCATAATGCGTATAAAGTATGCAATATAAAAATCATAACAACAAAGTTGTCATCAGCAGTTCTTATGCCTAATATTTTTTACTTTAGAAATATATATAATTGTTTCATTATTAAATTGATAATTAATTTGATATACTGATATGTATTTATATATCCTCTGCCATATTTTTTGAAATACATTTTCTGCATAGCTTTATAAGATGCAAGTCAGCATCACTTTAAATATTTTCCAGTAATAAGCCTGTTACTGATTTATAAGATATTAATTAATATTATATCTTATTTGATTATTAAGAAAATAATGGAATATTAATATTTCAAAAATAACAATGTATTAAGCCGTCATTGGATGACCGTTGTATTGCTGTTTATTTTCGCATTTGTAAATTATGTTTTCTGTTTACGGAGATGTATGCTATATGCTGAAATATACCCAGAATTCAATTTTATTTCTTTTGAATATCCTTTACTGAAACACATTGATAACTATTCTGATTATCCAATTCTATACCAAAATCAATACTTATTTCTCAAATTGTATAATACATTGATAACTATCTTGAATATCTTTTCTTATACCAAAATCAATATTTATTGCTTTTATAAACTAACATTCAATGGACTTTTTTTTTAATTGATGTTTATAGGATGGAAAATAAAAAAAAATATGTAGGCAACAAATTGGTACGTCGACAGCTTGGTGGTACTAATCGCTTTGTGTTGAATAAATTAAAGAACGTCGGTCGAGAACAGTCAAAACGGTAAATGTACACATATGTATATACGTATTATATGTTGTATTATGTACATGCCTTTTTTTATAATGTTATTCTCAAAAAATGATCTTTAACAATATAATGGACGATGTCATTAAAATTGTTGAAGATACTCATTCAGTAATTTTCTTTTCTTGTTTTTGATTATATATATATATATATATATATATATATATATATAAATTTTTATTTTTAGTTTTGGTCATCCACTTCGTTCAATCGTACGGCCTAAAAAATACAGAACTACTTCATCGTCAGATGTGGACCAAGTTAACAGAAAATTAACTCGAAATGTTAGGTGTAGTCTTGATCAGACTGTCGACATTGAAAAAGATATTAACAAAATAAGAAGAGGATTAATCATTAATAAAGAAAATGAAGCTAATATCCAAATAGAATCGAATTGTCCTTCTGTGTATACTAATTGTTCAGTCGAGTTAAATCCAATCGGGATCTTATATAATCCACAAAATGTTACTGGAGCTTATGAACAATGTTCATCTGAAAAAACATATACTGATTTGTTACCGCTGAATTCAACCTCAATTTTGAATGTAACTATGATTAAAAATAATTGTACTCTTCTTAGCTTTATTTTAAGTCCATATGTATATATGGATTTTATGTGTTCTAGGAAAAGTCTCTTCCAAATACTTCGTTCTGTGGGCCTTCAAGTTCACGAAGTGAAACATGTAAGATTACTTCTACAATAACATCGTCACATACAGCTGAAACAGTACACGGACTTTCTGGACAAGTTCCTTATGTTCCGACAACTGATCAACAAATTCCTTATGTGCCAAGTCAAATATCATATATTCCGACAAGTACCCAACAGCAGGATTCTACTCAATTTTCATCTGCAACTAGGGTTGGGTAAGTTAATTTTGTTTGTAGCTTTGTTAAAGTGTTAAATTTAATTCCTATATTAAATTAACTTTGTTCCATTAAAAGTTACAAAGTGAAAATACACTTAATTAAAAGTACAGTTCATTTTAAAATTTATTTAATAAAATTAAAATAATTAGAATTTTTTAAATTAAGTTTAAACGGGATTTGAACGGTTAAAATTAAAATAATGTTATATAAAATATAGTATATGTTAATTATTGTTTTTGTAAATAAAATTAATATAAAATAATGAAGCATTATAATTTTTTAAAAGGATTTTTTAATAATTATTTTAAATAACTATATAACTATAAAAATAATTATAATTATACATAATGTAGAATATATATTACAAATATTTTTCAAATTTTAATAGACATATTTCAAGATGCTTATCATCTAATTTTTTCTTATAAATTATTACAGTCACAATACAATCTTTGTTTTTTTCTTTTTAAAGTAATACTGTCATATGATCATAATATTTAATCACGAATTTATATGCTTTTAAAAAAATGCAAATAATTTTTACTTAATAAAAAGAAGTAAATAAGTTAAAAAATCTGTAAGTCTGAACTAGTTCAAACTAACGCGCCAATTGTACCAACTCATTGTGCCCAATCAATTGTGCCCAACCCGAACCACCGTCGGCCCAATAGCGACTACACGCTTGAGACGGAGGAGGGAGGATCGAGGGTGGATGGAGAGACAACGTGGTCGAGACTGAGATCGACGCTAATACAAGTGGTTGAGATATTGTTATAAATAAAGAGG